GACCTAGGTATTTGCAAGACCGCCTCCTACCAAACACCTCCCTTCGACCAGTCCGCTCCCACAGAGAGGGCCTCCTTAGGGTGCCGTCGGCCAGACAATGCCGGCTGGCGACCCCCAGGGGGAGAGCCTTCTCTGTGGCAGCTCCTGCCCTCTGGAATGACCTACCCCCCGACCTACGTACAGTTGCGGACCTGCGTCTCTTTCGCTGAGCCCTGAAGGCCCATCTATTCCGTGCGGCCGGCCTGGTGTAGTTTGATTATGTTTTAGTGGGGGTTTTGTATGGGGTACTTTTAGAGCAGGCCTGTTATTTAATTTGATTTTAGAACAGAAACTTGTGTATATTTATCGTGGTTTTTATTATCGCCTGTTCACCACCCTGAGTCCCGTAAGGGAGATAGGGCGGTATATAAATTCAATAAATAAATAAATAAATAAATAAGGATCATGCCGCAGCCTGCAGTGATGCCAGCCCCAGCACAAGGCTCACACTGCCACCCCCATGCGAGGCTCATGCCGTGGCCCGCAGTGATTCCGCCCTGGCACAAGGATCACACCACTGCCCCTGCACAAAGCTCGTGCCACAGCCTATAGCAATGCTGCCCCGGAGCACAGATTGCACCACTGTTCCCACATGAGGATCATGCCGCAGTCCATCTGCCACTTGCGGTGCTGCCGCCATCTATGCAATACTAGCAGGGCTGCCGCTGCCCACACACTTGTGGCAATGGTGGCACAAGGGGGGTGACCATGCGCACATGCACATGCACTACTCAGCTACTCATGCAGCCCGGCGGCCAAGAGGCCACAGCCCAGTGATGGTCCATAGGTTGCAGACCTCTGTCTTAAAGGAGCTGTGGTGGAGCAGTGGATAGAATGCAGTATTGCAGGCTAATTTTGCTGACTGCAGACAGCCAATAGTTCAGCAGTTCGAATCTCAGTGGCTCAATGTTGACTTAGCCTTCCATCCTTCCAAGGTTGGTAAAATGAGGACACAGATTTTGGGGGGCAATATGCTGACTGTAAACTGCATAGAGAGGGCTGTAAAGCACTGTGAAGTGGTATATAAGTCCAAATGCTATTGTTATTGCTATTGCTTATGTATTAAAATATGAATCTTTCTCCAATATTTCTTTGCTTTGTCACAAGTCCACCAAAGATGATAAAAAGTTCCTTCTTTGCATTTATATTGCCAACATACTTTTGAAACACCTTTACATATCTTTGGGAATTTGTCAGGTGTTAAATACTATCAATACATCATTTTATAAAAGTTTTCCTTTAAGTTTTAGTTCAAGGTAAATTTTAAACCCTTCACATGTTTTCCAATTGTTCAAGCATTACATTATACCCAGAATTCTTTGCCCATTAAATCATACAATGCTTCACATATTCATTCTCTAAATTCAATTTCAATAGCAATTTATAAACGTTTCGATAATATGCTCATCCTTACCACACAGTACAATTTTAAATGACTTTTAGTCTAGTAGTTAGGGCATCAGGCTAAAAACTGGGAGACTGTGAGTTCTACTCCTGCTTTGGGCCAGTCACTTTGTCTCAGCCCTAGGAAGGAGCCAATGGCAAACTGTGTCTGAAAATCTCTTGCTAAAAAAACTGCAGAGATTTGTCCAGGTAGTCTCTGATAATCAGACCCAGTTGAATGGAAGAAAGAAAAACATTGTTATAACCTGTGGTTACAACTAGAGCTTTATTTTATTGTGCATAAAAATATTGTAAGTATTTAACGTACAAATAAAACATTAATTGATCTAACAGACACACTTTTCAGCAACAGGAACAAGACAATAGCAAAGCTTAACTGGGTGGCAGAGACCTCAAAGTGCAGAATGGCAACTGTGGTGGGGTGGCTATGACTTTGTACCATGCTTCTAGGATGGGATAGGGCTGGGCTTTGTACTGTGAAAGGCTTCAGTGTACAAAGAAGCCCCTGTATGCCGTGTGGCTGGGCTGGGCTGGGCTGTGCTGGAAGCCAGGCCAGGACTCTGTGTTGGGCTGCACCTCGGTGGCTTCTTGCAGTCCCAAATTACAGCATACCAAGAAGCCCTAGAGCCATAATATGATAAGCAACCATGCAGTTCTGGGGCTCTGCAGTTGTTGCTCTGCAAAGCAGTGTACAATGGGGCTAAAAGGATATAAATGGAGGGAGGATATAGGCAGGTGAGGAAGTTAGTGCCTTATCTTATTGAGGCTTAGGCTGGGAGGGACCAAGCCTGGAATGGCTTCACTTAGAGTGGATATCACTTAACGTCCGACAATTCTTAATGATGGCAACAGAAAATGTCAGGGTTGCCATCATTAAGTGATCATATCACATCATCACTTAACAATGGAAATGTCAGTACCAATTGTGATCATAAATAGTGAACTATTTATATAGGATAGGTGTCATGGCAGAGAAGACACATTTCCTGGGACTTACCAGATAAGACTGCTATAAGAAGGACCCAGAGCATGCCCATTCTGCCAAATCTGATTGGATGGGCAGAAATCATCAGTAAGAGAGATGGTCCTGCAAATAACTTGGCCCCATGCCATGCACAGTTTTAAAAGTGACCACCAGCAACTTGAATTGTACCTAAAAACCCTCTAGTAGTCAGTAATATAACAGTGGTGTTATCTGGGCATAAGGTGGTGCACCCAATACTGCACATGTCACTATGTTCTGGACCAGCTGAAGTTTCCAATCTTTCAAGGACATTGCATGTAACATACATTGCAGTAGTCCAACCAGGTGGTGACTAAGGCATGATAACCACGAGAAGAAATAGAAGAAGTGTTTGTGAATGGACCTTCCTACCCATCACTGCTATATGTTCCTCAAGGAGGAGCCACAAGGCCAATCTTTGCTACCCCACTCAAAGTTTATGATAGGAAATCATCTTTATAATTTCTGTAGATATGATTCCTGATTACTTCAAATATCCCTCTCATATTTGCTTATCTGGACTTAAAAGAGTCATCTCATATTCTTGTCCAAGCGTACCCATATAAGTATTTAAACATAGTGGCTACAGAAGGGAGGGTCATTTTAGGTGAAGAACCATAGAATGTTGTCCCCAATGAGGTTCTCTTAGCATCTGTATTTCAAGCTGGATAGAACTGGGTGAAAACTTTTTGTTTTTCCTGGTATTTAAGACCATTTCCTTTTTTTAATAGTAATTTTATTAAAATTTACAATTTGCAACAATGAAAACTATCATAATCTTAAAAAAGAAAAAGAAAAAACAAAGGCTCAGAAAAGAAAAAAAAGATAGAAAGGAAAATGAAAAAGAAAAATAGTAAATAAAAAAAGAAAATAAGTGACTTCCCACTTCATC